TGACCCAGGCATACTTTAAACTCAGGAGAATAGGGGGCAGTAATTATAAATTTAACCAGCCTGCTGGCCATCCTTAGCAAGAAGAGTGAAGCAGGAAGCATCATAGTACCAGACCTTAAACTATACTATAGAGCAATAATAACAAAAATGGCATGGTATTGGCACCAAAATAGAAACATAGACCAATGGTACAAAACGGAAGACATAGAGACAAACCCACATAAATAGTCAAACCACCAAAAGCATTTACTGGAGAAAAGACAGCCTATTCAACAAATAGTGCTGGGAAAATAAATAAATTTGATAGTTTTCATTATCCTATAGCAGGATGGCTGAAAGGGATTCCAACCAGAATCTCTTCTACTCCTAAGCTAACAATGCCACGAAACCAGTTTGTACTAGCGACAGATGGGTTGCTGTCTTTCCCAAGAAATTCTTTCCTCAAGGCATTGAACATACTCCATGGAGCCCAATTTTCAGTCTGGATTTTCCAATCAAATTATCCAAGACAAAAACAGGATCCTCTAATGATCATTCTACCCTCTTCTCTGCCCCTAGAAAACCAAGAGACCAGGAAGTTCACTTCTTCAGGTTAAGAAACAGCACCTGGATCCACTGAAGCTGCCACAGAATACACGAACCAGGAAGAAAGCTGCAAGAGCCAGTGGCATCAGGCAAGTTGAGCTGAGCTGCTGCTGGTGGTTCCTGTGCTCCAACCAGCTACTCCTGGACACATGGACCCCTGGGACTATGTTGGTATGTCTGGTCCCAGAGTCAGAATAAGAATAATCCAAATTTGGGGCTGGGGATGTAGCTCAGTGGTAGAGTGCTTGCCTAGCATGTATGAGGCCCTGGGTTCAATCCTTAGTACCACCAAAAAGAAAAGAAAAAACAAAAAAAGAAAAAGAGTTATCTGAATTTAACTGAGGGTTGAAGATCAAAAGCGTAAACCTTGTCACAAATCTCTTCGGGATTTCCCAGGGTGGACTTTAACCCAGCCCATCTCATTATGTCTCAACACATACTCAGGCACCATCTAATACCCAAACAAGAGTAGTAGGAAGACGACCCCTCCATTCATTTACTTATTGGGCCTTAAGAAACAGCTCCTTAATGTCATCCATGAGGCCAATGGTGGGGAGACTCTTAGGATCAAAATCAGGCAGAGTTCCTGATAAGGTAAAATCTGCAGCAGACTGGGGAGTGTAGGAATGAGCCAAATTACCCCAGTAATAAATGCAAACTTTATAACAGTATATAACTGTATATAATAAATGTGTAATTCATAACTCCATAGAGAAGAAATGTAGTTCTGTGAAATTAGAAGCGAAGACCAAAGGAGGAAAGAAGGAAGGAAGAGAGGGAGGGAGGGATGAAGGAAGGAAGGGAGCCCTACCTATCCTGGAAATCAGGGAAGCTTGCCATTACTGATTACGAGGTAAGCTGAAGGCCAGAGAGGAGTTTAGGTGTGGGAAGAATGTTAGATGGAACAGGATGTGTTCAGGAGCTCATGAAAGCTTACGAGCCAGGACACGTAGAAAACACTAACAAAATGTAGGCCAGAGGAAGAGCCTGGGAGACTTGTAAGCACAATAAGGACTTTGTCCCCTAAATTCTGAGAAATACCCAAGCTTTTAAAAATATACCCAAGGTATATGCAACTTTAGTCTAAGATAAGATTGGAATTCCTTTTTCCCCGCTTTGGCAGGGCTAGGAATTGAACATGGGTCCTTGCACATGCTAGGCAAGACCGAGACACCCCCAAGCCAGGAGTGGAATTTCAACTCAATATGAGGTGACTTACAACACCAAAGTCTGAGGGTCTTCCAGCTCCGTGGGATAGGCTGTTGAGTCTGCCATTTCAACGCTGGGAGAAACTTCCATAACAAGGACAAAAGGGCTCTAAAAGTTGTCAAATATTGGCACATTTTAACTCTATTCCTTGGGCTCTGGTGGACCCTCAACAACTATTTTCTATTTCGAGCATGGCATGCAGGACACATGGGAAAGGACAAACAGAGGGTCAGGCAGGTCAGCAAAGCAGGGCCAGGACTGGGGCAGAACTAGCCAATGCGGGGGGCCGTGGAGGGAGCAGGGAGACAATGGAATGAGGGTAGGAAATTGCTGCTAGTCATTTCAATTGGGTCTCATGCACTCTCAAGCTCATGCTAAAGGGTTAATGTGGAATAAGTTAATTTATAAACATTATATAATAAAACTGATTAATAAATATGCTGATAAAGGGGTTGCTGATCTGATCATTAAAAATGACATGTGAGCAGGGAACAGTGTTACATGCCTGTAATCCCAGTGGCTCGGGAGGCTGAGGCAGGAGGATCGTGAGTTTAAGGTTAGCCTCAGCAACTTAGTGAGGCCCTGGGCAACTCAGCAAGATCCTGATTCTAAATAAAGTATTAAAGAGGGCTGGGATGTTGCTCAGTGGTTAAGCACCTCTGGGTTCAATCCCTCGTATCAAAGAAAAAAAAAACAATATTTGATATGCCTAATGTAAAACTCACTGGTCTTCAAGGTAGACTGGATCCATATATTGAACTAACCTCCAAAGTGACTTCTGAGGACTTTTCAAATATAATGCGTTTTCAAGTGTGACCTTGGTTACATGTGAGCTCTATTCACCAGCTAGTGTCATTTATCTCTGGGAGCTGGAACTATTCAACCATGATTAGTGGTTGGCATAGCTCTAAATCCTGGATCAGTAGTGACACCTCTGCTCAGCTGGGGAGCTGAGCTGGGGACCTCAGGATTCCCACACCCTGTCTGCTGCATCTCCTTCCTGGCTTGCATCTCAATGTATGGCTGCACCCATAAGCCTTGCTATGACAATCTTTAGGCCAAGATGCTGCCCACCTGGACAACTGAGATAGACCCTGAGCAGCCAGGAGGTCTCACTGTAGAAGAGCTGGTGAGATTCTTAAGGGTTATCACACCCCCTGCTGTACAAGCACCTCCACCACTCCTTGACTTAGAGCTGATTTTCACATCTCCTTTGATATTCTCTTCCAAGCAGGCTTGGCCTGGGAACCTGCCTGTCACAGAGGAAATAAGGATTTAAATGCTGCAAGACCTGTTTGAAGACTAAAACTCTTTTTCAGTAATTATAAAAGCACACGTGGCAGACCACACACTGTCCCTTTTCCCCAAACCCTCTAGCTCTTGCTCTATCAGGAGATAGAGCCTTAATCTCCTCCCCTTGAATCTACGCAAGCTTTGACTCACTTTTAACCAACATCCTAAGCTGTGTGTGTCAGCTCTTCATCACTGTCATCAAAATACTCAACAAGAACAACTTAGAGGAGGAAAAGTTTCCAATACTTTCAGAGGTCTTAGTCCATGGTCTGCAAAGTCCATGGCTCTGGGACCAATGTGAGGCAAAACATCATGGCAGAAAGGCATGGTGGAGTAAAGTTCATGGCCATTAAGAAGCAGAGAGCAACAGAGGAAGGGGCTAGGGACAGATATAGTCCAAGGGAATGTCCCCAGTGACCTACTTCCTCCAACTAGGTCCCACCTTCAGCAGTCCTGCAGCTATCAATGATTAATCCAGCAAACGGATTAATCTACAGGCAAGTTTGGGGCACTCATTGTTGCTTTCAAGCCCCATCTCTGTATCTTGCTTCCAACACATGAGCTTCTGGGGACTTTCCAGATCCAAACCATAACTGGCTGTAACAAAATGCCTGACTTAAATGGGTGACTTAAATGACATTCATTTATTTTTCAAAGTTCTGGAGGGATGTAGTCAGAGATCAGAGCACCAGCGTAGACAGGTTCTCATGAGCGCTCTCTTCCTGGTTTAGTCCTGGTTTAGAGAGGGCTACCTTTATGCTTTATCTTTACCTGGCAGAGAGAGAGAGAGAGAGACATGAGCTTTTTTTATCTCTTTGTCATTTGAAAAGAACACTAATCCTGTTGTGGCAATTCTACCCTCAGCACTTCACCCAATCATAACCACCCCAAAGTATCACCTGCTCACACCAGCACATTGGGGGCTATAATATTGATGCATGAATTGGAAGAGACACACATATTCAGTGTTTAGCAACCAATAAAATACTCAGGACCGACACTGCATGACCTCTGAGGTTAGACCACAGAAGTCAATGCTGCTTCCACTTGGCCAATGATGGAAACCACTCTGGAAAACCTCGTCTGCTGTGTATGCAGATCAAATGCCCTGGGGCTGCCATTCTGGATGGAAGCCCAAACTAGCCCACATGGAGAGGACTGAGACCCCATGGAGGGAGGCAGGGGGAAAGCGAAGCTGTTGGAGGAAAGAGAATAAGAATGCACTGGTCCCACTGAGCTGCTCCAGCTCTGGTACTTTAGATATTTCACACCTCTGTTCATTGATGGGCCCCAGAATCATTCCACCAAGACCTCCCCAAATTCCTGCCCAGAAGAGATCATAAGACAGTATGTGTTTCTCAAGGCACTATGCTTGAAGGTGATTTGTTACGCAGCCACAGTAACTAAACACACTGCAACACAAAAAATAAGACCAGAACTGCCTTATTTGGAAATATGTCTACTTGCACGTCTGCAAAGTACTTCAGCTGAGGGAAGCATGTGTGTCTTATAGCTTTCATGACTCCCCTTCAGAAATGCTGTCTTTATGGACAAAGAATGATGTAGTATACTCTAAAGCCACATTCTAATGAGAAAATTATGACCTATGAGAAAAGTAGCATCTTGGAATCCTTCATCCCTCCAGGACACCAATTATTCACAGGGACCAATGGCAATGTATTCAAATTCTCCTCCAGAAATTCACTTCCCGTACTGCTCATGGCCAAACACCAAGGAAAGGGACAAGTTTTAAATGTGCTTGCAGGTAAGTCACAAGACGTAGAACCTCTCCCTGTGCTCCAGAAACGGGTGGACTACCTGGCTTTCCTTCCATGTGCAGTTAGGAACCTGCACTCTCAAGGCACTGAGACCAAGGAATCAAATGACAGTGCCAAAGAATGCAGTGCTGTTCAATCTCTCCAAAACAATACATAAGTGTCCACCAAAAAGCAATGTGTTTTGGCAAGAGCTATAGATCTACATGTATCCATTTGATGACAAACATGCAGACTCACTTGGAAACTGTGAGTGACTGAAGCAGCTCAATAATTTACTTTTCATCAAGATGTTCCATGTCATGGATGACAAAGCCATATGTAAACACTGAGCTGATCCAGAAACATTCTGTCTCAAGTTAATTCAACCAAACCTTTTTTTTTTTTTTTGAGGGGCATGCATAGAGACAAGAGAAGTTTAACTTTCTTCCCCCCTCCACCCCCCAAGAATGAGTATACATGCATTTGCTTCAGGTGGGATAGGAATTGTATCAATTTTCTATTTCAACCTACAGTCACCATGCTACTTCCTGCTCAAGTGATAACTTATAAATAAGTTATATATTGGATCTCTTGCAGCATCAGGGGGCATGAAAAGCTCATGAAGGGTCGAATACTAAAACCACGGGATAGAGACATTTGGTACTTTTCAGACTTTCAGAGTTACATCTACAGCCATAAATAGTTAATTTGTTTAGACTTTGCCTGAGGAGATAGAGACATTCCAAAGTCCTCTGGGCTTACCCCAAACCACACAAGAGGCCCCTGGGTCAGACTCCATGATGATCTTTTGATATGCGGTACCCATGCTAGGAGCAGCCCTGTTTTTCTTTGAGATCAAGTCCCTGCCTACTGGATCCTACATCCTGATTAATGCCCAAAGGGGGTGTATTTTTCAAATGTGTTGTTGTATCTCATCTCAAGAAACCCATTAGTTATTTCAAAACATGACCTACATGCTGTTCTCCATTCTTCTCTTCTATGTAAGTTGTTATTTCTTTTTTTTTTTTTTTTGTATTTTTGTTTTTCTGCAGGAAGTTCCAGAAATTTCCCTACTCTCAGAAGAATATCTCTAGGCACTTTCCCAATATAATAAAGAAGTGTTTTATGTTATGGGTGATGGCCAGTTAACGTCTATGTTTCTTTGGAAGAACTAAAGCAGTATCTATCAGCCAAGGGAAACACCTGCATAGCCCTGTGTTCCTGTATTACATCCATGACCGCACATCCCATAAACAAGAAATCAGAGTCCAAAGAATAAAAACCACAGGTGCTGTGGGAAAATAAGCTCCATGTGAACCTGCAATATGCAACAGTCTTTTCAAAACAAACAAGATTATAAGGGTATAATTACAGCTAGGAAAAATGGACATCAACCCCAATAACCTATAATTATTTTCCTAATCTATGGGGTTGGAACTAACATAACCACAGATGAAATCAGGAAGACAGAGCTCCTTAGAGACACATATGGCTGGGAAATGCAACAGACTGCATTCAGCCAGAGACTCTTGACAACTTTAAAATACAAATGGACCAAAGGGTTCTTTAGATCTCAAGTTCTCCAAACTAATATATCCTTAGGTCTAACACACACACACACACACACACACACACACACACACACACACACATGTTTTGTATATTAATAATGTTTTTTTTATTATAGTGATTAAGACAAAAAAAAAAGAACAACTAGAATCCACTTTAATTTACTTCAAAATGGTCATGCCCTTGGAGCACATTCCTGTCAAAAATCTTCCTGAGAAGAAGACGCAATGTGGCCAGCTGAACAGAGAACTGTTGGATGCTTGCCGCAGAACCTGACTTCCCTTGTAAGACGAGTGACACCCGCAGAAAGCTCACACCAAGGGAGGAAGAGAACAAATGCCCTCAGGCCCCTGGGACCATGGAAGCCAGGCTCTGAAGCACCCAGACACTGCAGTGCAGATAACAGAGTGCACATGGATGACGTCACCAGAGACCACGGTAAGCCAGAGGGTCTGGGCATGGGACGGGGATGGTGCCTGGACTGCGAGGAATAGCGGCTGAGCCACGCTTGTCAGACAGATTTTCATGGTGGGCAGACTATCATGAGGCAAGGCCCCCAGGAGGCCTGTCATCTCCGCTGCTTCTTAAAACATTTCCCATAAAATCTCATGACTTTGGAGTCTCTAGATTTAATAAAATCTGCAGAACTGATCCCATTTGCTCTCAAGTCACCTCAACTTTTACTTTAAAAAATATATTTTAATGTTTTCTATGTTCCCACGACTGCGTTAGGGAATGCGGAGCACATGAGGATAACCAAGAGGGGGCTCTGTGCTAAAGAGTGGGAAAGACAGACAGATAAACGGTCGTCTGAGTGTTAGAAAGTTTGAAATGGCTACTGCTTCTGCCAGAGGATGTACAAACCATCAGGGATGATTATTCACACTGATGACACAAACCTCAGATGGCCAAATACCGCATCTGAGCTCTACGGTTCCACTGAGTTATCAAGGACAAGACAGAAATCAATTTCTTGAAAGGTCTCTTGATGTCGGCAATCTACACCAGCCATTAAGTCACATAAAATCTTCTCATTGACTGCATCTTGTATTCTTATGGCTATTTCTTTTTTTTTTAATTTTTTGTAGTTGTAGATGGACAGAATGCCTTTATGTCATTTGTTTATTTTTATGTGCTGCTGACGGTCGAACCCAGTGCCTTGCACATGCTAGGCAAGCACTCTACCACTGAGCCACAACCCAGCCCTTTATTGCTATTTCTAAAGATAGAGCGTGTCACTCATTGATAAAGTTTAACTACTTAAATGTTATCACTCTATCATGAAACTTTCACGGCTAAGTGGCTTACAACATCACCTTATATTCTGGAGTTCACTAAACCCAGTTGGATACAATGTTAATAACATCTCTGGCTACCCTTATTCCTGACATTATTTAGTTCATCACCATTTGGCAATTGCCACTGATGAATATAAACCAAAAGCACAACCAAATCACAGTGTGGATTAAATAGAGGAATAGAGAATGTATCATTCAGGACCAGGAATATCAGTTACCAATAATTTAACTCCATATTTATGGGATTCTTGTTATTCTTTGGAAACTACAGGCCTGTGCTCCCTGACCAGTGTTCAATAAGACAAACATCTTGTTCTGACACAAAAAAAGAAATAAGTAGCTACAGATTACACCATATTTCCCAGTAGACATCAACAAGCACTTAATACATTTCATTCTACTTATATTATTGCATGCCAGCTTGAAACAGTTGAAAGTCTAAGGTATAAGAAAAAGCTATAGTTGCCAGCCATGCTTCACAGGAAATGAAATGGTCTGCTAAGCAGTCTAAAAACTAAGGGGAAAGAAACAAAAACATTTTTTAAAGTAAAGGAATACTCTCTTATTATCACAGGCTTAAAATATGAAACCCTCAGAAAAAGAGACATCTAGTCTAAAATAACAGGGCCCACCACTTACGCCTCTAACACAAAAAGATTCATAGGGATATGGCTTTCATGACCGCTAAAAACAGAAAGCTATTGTAAATGAAAAGAGCCAAGAAAACAATTACATTGGTGATTTTTAATTCCTTTTTGGTGCTCATCCAATCATCAAGCTCCAGATTGGTTTTGTATTTTGTATTGGTTTACTTTACAGGCAAAGTAAGCAAACATAAATGATGAGAGTAAATAAACAAGTGCATAAGGGAGATAAGTTATAAGAAAACATGTTGCCGTGTCAGCATAAGTCAGGAAAGCTTGGCCACTCCATAACTCAGGTTGAGAGAAAATGGATTGTTTGGTCTTTCGAATCCAGGATTCCTCAGTCTCAGCACTTTAAAATTGGGGGCCAGATAATCTTGTTGCGAGGGACTGTCCTGTGCATTGTGGGATGTTTGGCGATGCTCCTGGCTTCCACCCATCAAATGAGCTTGCAAGTACCACTTGCTCACTTCCTCCTACTTGTGACAAACATGTCTACAGGT